TTTTCTTATCCAATCAGCTACCTTATATCTTTTGATTGGAGCATTTAAACATTTACATTTAAGATTATTATTGATAGATAGTTTTTAGTTGCCATTTTTATTTTATGCCTGTGTTCCTCTTTCTCTCTCTCTGTTTCTTCTTCTTACAACAGTCCCTTCAGCATTTCTTGCAGTGCTGGCTTGGTGGTGGTAAATTCCTTTAGTTTGTTTGTTTGTTTGTTTGTTTGTTTGTTTTTTTAAATCTATGAAGTTCTTTATTTCTCCATCAGTTTTGAATGTTAGCCTTGCTGGATAGAATAGTCTAGGATTCAGACCCTTGTCTTGCATTACTTTGTACACTTCATGCCATTTCCTTCTGGCCACATCTTTTCTATTAAGAAATCAGCTGACAGTCTAATGGGAGCTCCCTTGTGGGTAACTTTCTGTCTCTCTCTTGCTTCCTTTAAGATTCTTTTTTTGTTTTTAATGTTTGCTATTTTTATTTTTATGTGTCTATCTGTGGATCTTTTGGGGTTCATCTTCCTTGAGACTCTATGTTTTCTGGACTTGTGTGATTTTTTCTTCATCAAATTAGGGAAGTTTTCTGTCATTATTTCTTCAAACAGTTTCTCTATTTCTTTCTCTGATTCTTCTTCTTCTGGTACTCTTATAATGCAAATGTTGTGATGTTTTGTATTGTCCCACAGCTCCCTTAAACTTTTCTCCTGCTTTTTAATTTTTTTTTCTATTTGCTGCTCTATTTGAGTGTTTTTCTCTACCTTGTCTTCTAAGTCACTGATTTGGTCTTCAGCTTTTTCTAATCTACTATTAAACCCTTCTGAGGTATTTTTCATAACAACTATGTTATTCTTTATTTCCTTTTGATTTTTCTGGATAGCTTCTACCTCTTTTTTTTAAGCTAAAGTAGTTTCCAGTGAGCTCTTCATAATTCTTATTAACTTGCTTGTAGTTCTCACCAAATTGTTTGAGCACCCTTATAATCATTGCTTTGAATTGTTTATCTGACAAGTTGCTTTCTTCTAGTTCCTGTAGTTCCTTTTCTGGTGATTCCTCTCTTTTTTGTATTGGGTGTTGTTTCTTTGTCTCACCATTTTAGCAGTCTAGTAGTTCTAAGCCTGGTGAGGGATGTTGGAATGTGTAGGCAGGTTGGTGTGTATCAACTAAGGCTGCTGTACCTCCCAGGTTGTTTTGGTGTATGGCTCCTCTTGCCTGCTGTGGATCAGGGAGGGTTGACACCTGGTGGCTGAAATTGATCTTTTGTGCAGGTCTTGGCTCCCCAAGACTTGCTGCTGCTTGGGCTGGGGCACTGCTCTTGATTAGCTTCTGCTGATTCTGTTCAGGTTGGGTCTTAGCTGCCGATATGTGCTGCTGCTGCCTGTGGTTTGTGGGTCCATCTGGTGCCCTGCTGGGGTGCATGGGTCCTGCTGGTATGTTTCTGGGGTTTGTTGGCCCCGTTCGTATGCCACTGGGGTTCATGGGTTCCACTGGTACAATTCCGGGGTTTGTGGATCCCTCTGTTACACTGCTGGGGTGCTGTTGGGGAACCCTACTGCCTTGTGGGGCTCAGCTCCTGATCAGTCGCTGCTGGGGGCAATTGTCAGCTCTGGGTTTGCACCGCTACTGCCACCAGGGGATACTCTCAGGTCCCAATCCTTTACTGCTGTTGGGGGCTGAGGATCTCGGCACCTGGGACTTTGCTGCTGCTGGGAGGAGGGGCTCCACTGCTGCAGTTTTCAGGGGCAGGTCTCAGCTGCCCTAACCCTGCTGCTTGGGCCGGGGCACTGCTCCTGATCAGCCTTTGCTGATGCTGCTGGTGATGAGTTTCAGCTGCCAATCTGAGCTGCAAATGCCTGTTGAAGGTGGGGCTCTATTCCTGCCCAGTCACTGTTGCTGTGGGGGGAGGTGCCAGCCTCCCAAGCTGATGCTAGTGCCTCCACAAGCCTGGGAGGGCTTCCTTGAGCCTGGGCAGGCTTCAGTGCCACCCCAGGCCATGAGCCAGGGTGGGCCTAGAGCCTGGGCGGACCTGGAGCCAGGGTAAGCCTGGAGCCTGGGCACAGCTGAGTCCACGGGACGAATGGTGCAAGGCACTCTAGTGAACTCAGGTCACTTGGCCCCAGCCGCTCCCCGTTTCCTCCTCCCAAAGGAAACCCGGGATCCTCCAAAGTGGCAGGGCCTCCTGGCCACACTGGGGAAAGTTCACTGACATGCCACTAACCATGGTAGCCAGCTGCTTTCTGTGCACAGCACAGGAACCTTCTGCCCCATGTTTCTGCACTGCTCAAGGTTGGTCGTCTATACTCACATTCACTCAAACTCTCTTTCACACTCTCACACACTCACCCACACTCTAGTCCTGCCCACCGCCATCTTTTTTTTCCTGTTGCCATATATATATATATATATATATATATATATATATATATATATATAATTTCTTTTTTAAAGCTGTTCCTTTAACATTTATTGCAATGCTGGTCAGATGGTAATGAACTTATTTAGCCTTTGTGTTGTTGTTTTTTTTTTCTTTTGTTTAGTAAGCTCTTTATTTTGCCTTCAATTTTAAATGATAGCCTTGTTGGATAAAGTAGTCTTGGTTTCAGGTCCCTGTTTTTTATTACTTCAAATATTTAATGACTTTCGGGCCTGAAATGTTTCTGTTGAAAAGTCGGCTGTCAGCCTTATGAGAATTTCCTTGTAGGTAACAATTTCTCTCTTGCTGCCATTGACCCCCTCCTCCTTGCTCACACATCACTAAATTTATTGTGTTTTCCATTAAGTTCCTTGTAGTTTTCACTAAATTTTATGAGTAACCTTACAATTATTATTCGAACTCTATGTCTGATAATTTCCTTGCCTCCATTTCATTTAGCTCTTTTTTCTAGAGATTCCTCCTTTTCTTTCATTTGGCTTATTTTTTATTGTTTTGTCTCTTCATTTTAGCTGTTTCTTTCTGTTTGTGTCTATGTGTTAGTTAGAACTACTATGACTCTCAGTCTTCATGGGTGGCCTTATGTAGTAAGTGTCCTGGGACTCAGTGGTGCAGTCTCTTGATAATCTCCAGAGCTCAGTGCTTTGGGAATGTCCCTTGTGTGGGTTATTTGGGCTCTCTTGTAATTGGGTTTTGATTGTTGTTGTCCCTTTTGTGGGTGGGATCTCCCCTCAGACTTGCTAACTATGAGGCTCAACCCCCACCACACAAGAGCTGTTCTGCAGTTGCTGACAGAACAAAACAAAAGAAGAAACAAAACAAAAGCATACAAAATACCCTAACAACAATAAAAACCACCACAAAAGAGAAGATAATTAAAAAAGAGAAAAGAGAACATGAATAATATAAAGAAAGAAAAGAAAAGAAAATATGAAAAGGAAAAAAGGGGGAAATAAAGAATATGGCAAGAAAGAAGGGAAGAAAAATGGAAAATGGTACAAAAGAAGAGAAAGAAAAATATGAAGGGATAAAAAGAAGGGAAAAAATTAACAAAAGGAAAAAGGAAGAGAAAATAGGAGAAATAAAAAAAGTAGATAAGAAATGGAAGGAGGAAAATGTGAAAGAAAAAAGAGAAAAACAATAACAAAGCAATAAAAAATAAAGAAAACAATAAATAAATAAATGCAAAGTGGAGTTCTTCGTGGCAGAGTTTAGTACCTGTTAGTATCTTCCTTGGTATCCTGCCCTTATGTTGATTGAAGCTGACTATTCTGTAAGCCAGTTCTATGCCTCCCATGAAGTAATCTGGTGCTAGCCACTGTCAGAAGCTGTCCACTTTTGGCTCTCAGCTACCTGTTAGGACCTCTGGGTCTCCTTTGGGAGGTGCCATTCAGATTTCAGGAAAGATGGTAGATGTATTTCCCTGTCCCAGAGCCACATGTCTGAGTCTGTTCTGGAATATTTTCTTGATCTTGGCTAGGCAGAGCCCCTCTTAGGCAGTCCAGTGGGGTCTGCTGGAAGCCTAGAGGTTCTGTCATCTCTCCCTTGAAGGGGAAGCACCAGTAAGATTCCCAGAAAAGTGAGGGGAATTTTCCTGCACCAAATCTAGCCCTCTGAGACTGCCCAGAGGTGTAAACTTAATCTCTGTTCCTGCCTCCTCAGCAGGGGTAGAGATGCAGGGTGGAGGCAGTGGGAATCTTGACTACAGGATGAGCTGTATCCCCAAGGGTAGCAAATTGCCTTTCCTCAGGCTGCTGTTGCTGGGAGGGGCTTGTGCTTCCCAGGAAAAATGGCTTCTGCTGAATGGGTTGACACTCAAACACCAGCCAGGCATAAAAACAATTTTAAAATTTGGCTATCAATTTACTTATTAAGTCTCATTGCTGAAAGTTCCCTTGTTATATTAATATAAACTAGACAATATACCAAGTTTAAAGCTAAATGTAGATTTGAATCACTCTTTAAAAAACAGGCTCCTTTTTCATCAGTAAGAATTTGGTTTCTCAGCAACATTTCACTTTTGAGCACATCATCATTTTAGTAACCTGTGAGCAGCCTCAAACATTATGTGCTAGAACAAAGTGTCAACTATGACTAGTTTAATAGATGCTTCTTCCTGCTCCAGACAGCAATCATCTCTATAGCTGTAGCGTCACCAAAGTGGTTTCTAGGGTTTCTATTTCTTACTATTCTAATCATTAGATACAATAAACTTATTTCTCACAGAGATTTTTATTAGTGTCATATGACAAAATTTCTCATGGAGAAGATGATCTTTCAGGTGATTAAGAATTGTATTCATTTATTTTGAACATATATATAAATAGCCACCTGAATTGTTACCTTTGCTGTTTGATACTAATATGGCTCCTCTAGATTTTATACATCAGGTTTTAAAAATTAGAGAAATTCAAATTGAATGTGGGAATAGTAAAATACTAAAAAAATACATAAGAGCCGCCATTTCGTGGACGCTGGGTAGGTGATAGGACGTGTGGGAACCGGGCGGAGGGGAGCTGAAGAGCCGCCGAGGGTGTGTGGATTTAAGCCGCTGCATTTCTGACTTAAGATCTCGAAATGCATCGTGATTCCTGTCCATTGGATTGTAAGGTTTATGTAGGTAATCTTGGAAACGATGGAAACAAGACTGAATTGGAACGAGTTTTTGGCTATTATGGACCACTCCAAAGTGTGTGGGTTGCTTTTGTTGAATTTGAAGATTCCCGAGATGCAGCTGATGCTGTCCGAGAACTAGATGGGAGAACACTATGTGACTGCCGAGTAAGAGTGGAACTGTCCAATGGTGAAAAGAGAAGTAGAAATCGTGACCCACCTCCTTCTTGGGGTCGTCGCCCTCGAGATGATTATCGGAGAAGGAGTCCACCTCGTCGCACATCTCCAAGACTGAGAAGCTTCTCCAGCAGCCGGAGCAGGCCCCTTTCTAGAGATAGAAGAAGAGAGAGATCACTGTCTCGGGAGAGAAATCATAAGCCATCTCAATCCTTCTCTAGGTCTCGTAGCTGCTCTAGGTCAAATGAAAGGAAATAGAAGACCAGTTTGCAAGAGGAGTGGTGTACAGGAAATAACTTCATTTGACGGGAGTATGTACCGAAAACTCAAGTTTTGTTTGAGACTTCATAAGCTTGGTGCATATTTAAGATGTTTTAGCTGTTCACATTTGTTTGTCTTGGAACAGTGACACATAGAGATGTAATTCTCTATGGTTTGAAATGGATCATTTGAGGCATGTAATATCAAAAATTGTTACTTTACAATGTTCCCTTAAGCAGAATTGAATTTGCTTTGAACTTCAGTCTTGCATAGACTGATAATAAACCTTTTAACTCCTGCCCAGCTAAAGTGTGATGTTGAATATTATGGAAACAAAACCTGGAAAAATTAAAGTTGAGACTTTCCATAGCTGGGATATAATATGCTGCTGTAGTTTAACAAGCAGTCTTCAAAAGCTGCTGTGAACACACAAGCCAGCAGGTAAAAAATTAAAAGCTGCACCCTTAAACTAGATTAGAGGTTTAAAAAAAATCAACTAGTCTCTACACCGGGCAGAGGTTGTCCAGTTAGCGTGGAGTCTAAGAAGTTTCAAGAAAGTTAGTTTACCCTTCTTTGCTTAGCTATAAATTTCTTATGTGATTGCTGTATATGACTACATAACTCTTTGTAACTATTCATTTGGAAATTTGAGACTATTCAAGATACTAGTGTCTTGCCAGTTTAAGGGTACATTGTAGAGATGAACTTTGAGTTACTGTGCATGCTGTCATTTTATTCATGCTGTCATTTGTAATATGTTTTGTGAGAATCCTTGGGATTAAAGTTTCGGTTACAAATTGTTGTTAAAAAAATACATAAGAGGCATCAGAAAATTAAGCAATCTCACCTTGTGTGTATACCACCTGTGCAATATCCTGAATAAATGAAAGCCATTGTGTCCCATTTACCTATACAACAGCCACTCTCAGTGTTTACAAAGTTGTCTCCACAGTCTTGTGTGACTTGTTAAGCTACTGGGCTTTACCCCTTTATTGAGAAATTTTACTGCCAAAGCATCATGTTAGATTCTAAAACACGTCTCTTTTTATGGAGGGAAAAGATAAAGCTGTTAAGAAAGGCTGTAACTAAATTGAGGTTTGCTTAGATCTGATTAGTAGCTTGGACTTTTGCTTTCATGTCCAAATCTCTACAGTGACTGGAATTGGTTTCCTTGTACCTGGTTTTCTCTAGTAGGGCTTCCTGTTGCCCCTTGCCAGGTCAGGCGAATCCCAGTTCACCCACCTGTCCCACCCTTAAACAAAGTCTGCCACTTCCCCTTGAGTGTTCAAATGCTCGTGCAGACTTAAGATGATCTGATTCTTAGACTGAGCTCCATCACTTTAGCTAACAGTGCTCACATTCTGCCTTTCTCTTACAGTTTCAGGCTTAGCTTTTTCCCATTTCCTCCTACTAAAAACAACAACCTTTGGGCTTTCTCCCATGATTAGCCCCCTAGCCTCTATCTAACTATATGGATATAATTATATATTTTGCATTTAGACTCTGTTCTGGAACATCTTACTATTTCTTATGCTTGAATTATTATATCAGTATTACATAGAGGGTTTCTAAGAACTCTAGTTGTTGATATACTATAATCCTTGACAAAAATTATTAATCTTTAAAGATGTTATTTTTCTCTGATAGTATATACCACCATATAAACTATTTCATAGAATTTATAATCAAATTTATATAAAATATGAATAATAATTTCTATTTGGAATACTTGCTATGTACCAGGTATTTTGCCCAGCACTTCATAAACATTATTAAATTATATAATGTCATCAGTTTCGATAGAATATTATGAGGTAGATGCTATTTTTTTATATTGTATAGATCACCCAGAGAGATTGAAACACACACCAAAGCCACAATCAGTAAGTACAGGAAATAACACTTGACCCTCAGTATATCTAAGTCCAAAGTGCATGTTATTAACCACTAAATAACATGTGTATTTAAAGATAGTCTATATTCCAGATTTTTTAATGGCTTATATTGCCATCTCCTCCAATAAGGTTATGTTAAAATGTTTTACTCTAGATTATGTGCTTTGAAAAAAATAACTTAGCTGTCTGATGATAAAGTAACAGTACAGATTAAGCAATTATATCTAATAATCTCTTTCCTAAATTATATCCAAGACACTGAAAATGAGATCTATGTTAAAAAGGACATACTTGGACAATTTTTTACTTCAAACATCAAGTACCAGAAACAAAAATAACTAGAGTGTATAAACATGTATTTTTATTTAAAAAGCATTTATTTCCCATGTAGATATAAAAATATTCAGACAGTTTATGGCATTAAAACAACAATAAACAAATTAGAAATAAAGACAACAAGAAATAGAAGTTAATGACAGAAATCAAGCACCAGAACTAGTACTATAAGCCAAGAGAAAAGGGAAGTCTGTAGCATTATATAATTTTTTCTCATAACAATATTTTTTTTTAATTTAAATTTATTTTTGAGAGTATTTTAGGTGTTCTTTATTTACCCCAATATGCCTACCTCCCATCTCCCACCCCATCCCAGGCCTTCACATATATGCACATACATTTTTTGATTAATCTCTTCCTGCCCTCCTTTCCACCTTCCCTCTGAGATCCTTCATTCTGTTCAATGCTTCCATTTCTGTGGATCTATTTTCTTCATCAGTTTATTTTATTCCTCAGATTCCAAATATAAGTGAGATCATGTGATGTTTTTCTTTTTCTGAGTGGCTTATTTCACTTAGCATAATAACCTCCAGGTCCATCCATGCTGTCTCAAAGGGTTGGAGATCCTTCTTTTGACAGCTGCATAGTGGTCCATTGTATAAATATACCACAGCTTTTATATCCAGTCATCTACTGATGGACACTTGAAAAGCCACTGTAATCAAAACAACCTGGTACTGGGACAAGAACAGGCATATAGATCAATGAAACAGAAATCGACCCACATCATTTTGGTCAATTAATATTTGACAAAGGAGGCAAGAGCATACAATGGAGTAAGTACAGTCTCTTCAATAAGTGGTGCTGGGAAAACTGGACAGATATATGCAAAACAAATGAAACTAGACCCTCAACTTATACCATACACAAGAATAAACTCAAAATGGATAAAAAACTTAAATGTAAGTCACAAAACCATAAAAATCCTAGAAGCTTAAAGCATAGGCAGTAAAATCTCAAACATTTCATGTAGCAGAATTTTCACTGATACATCTTCTAGGGCGAGAGCAACAAACAAAAAATAAACAAATGAGACTACATCAAACTAAAAAACTTCTGCACAACAAAAGAAACCAGCATCAAACTGAAAAGAGAACCCATGGTATGGGAGAACACATGATACATATGATAATGGGTTAATTTCCAAAATATACCAAAAACTCATACAACTCAACTAGAGGAAGACAAACAATCCAATTTAGAAATGGTCAAAGAAGGAGAGGGGGTAGTGGGGGGAGGGATGAGATAAACCTCAGAACTTATATGCATGTATACATAACCAATGGACATAGACAACAAAGCCGGGATGGGGTCGGGGGGATGGGGAGGAGGGTGTCAATGGGGTAAAAAAGGAGAAACATCTGTAACAAAAATAAAATTTAAAAATAAATAAATATAAAATGGCCAAAAGATCTGAACAGACATTTCTCCATAGAGGACCTACAGATGACCATCAGACATATAAAAAATGCTCAATATCACTAATCATTAGAGAAATGAAAATTAAAACCACAATGAGGTATTGCCTTATACCTGTCAGAATGGCTGCCATTAACAAATCAACAAATGACAAGTGCTTGTGAAGATGTGGAGAAAAGGGAAGTCTAATACATTGTTGGTAGGAATGCAGACTAGTGCAGCCACTATGGAAAATGGTATGGAGGTTACTCAAAAAATTTAAAATGAAACTGCCATTTGACTCAGTAATCCAGTAACCCTTCTCTTAGGAATATATCCTAAGAATCCTGAAACACCAATAAAAAAGAATATATGTATTCCTATGTTCATAGCAGAATTATTTACAATAGCCAAGATCTAGAAACAGCATTATATAATTTTTGTTGTCTCAAAATGACATCTAATTAGACCAAATATTTTCTGGTATTAAGTCATCATGAGGTTTCAGTGATTTTCTCTATCAGTGATTAAAGAAGAAGGACATTATGTTAAATCTCAAAGAGATAAAATATGCCTAAGCTATGGTGAGTACCTATTTGTACATAACTTTATGTGAAGCACTTTTGCACTGCTTTAATATATCCTCCCAAGAAATCTCCATAGCATACCTCTATTCTAGCACTTTCAGAAATTGTGCTTTTCTTTCTCTATTCTCTGCTAGACAAAAACTCCATTAATTCAGAGAGTTACTGAACATATTTTTGTTTCATCTGCATCTCTGTCAAATGTCTGCCTCCTAGAGGGGATCTTTCTTGATCACAGTTTCTAAAGCATCTTTGTTCCTACAAAGTCACCTGCTCATTCTGTTTTATCTGTCTGTTTTATTTTCTTTGTAGTTCTTACTACTTGAATTTACATTGAATTAGTTCTTGGTTTTATTGTTTCTTTTCTTTTCTTTTTAATCTTCACTCGAGAATATCTTTCCATTTATTTTCAGATAGATAGAGAGAGAAACATCAATGTGAGAGAGACACATCAACTGGTTGCCTCCTGCACAACCCCTACTAGGGCGGGGGACCAAACTGCAACCAAGGTACATAACCTTGACCAGAATAGAACCCATAACTCTTTGGTCCCAAAACTGATGCTTTAACTTCTGAGTCGAACTTGCCAGGGCTCTTATTTTCTGAATATTTTACTAAAATTCAAGTATGAGAACAGGGAATTTGTCAGCCTTATTCAATAATTTATCCTTAGCCACCTAAGGCAATGGCTAACATACAGCATATGCACAAAATAAATATTGGGTCAGTAAATAAATGTTTGTGTACCTAACTCCATGTAGTATGTAAAAGAATTCTAAATATGTTTTCTGAACTGAACTGAATTTCTTAAATTCTCTAAATGGTGTGGAAACTGAGCTCAAGGAGTATAAGTAATTTTCTCAAGGTCACACATTTAAAAATTAAGAGTCTAAAACAGGAACCTAGATCTGTGCATACCTATGCATGAAAAGAATAGAGTCCAGGCATGTTGATTTCTGGTAATTCAGCTTATTCC